GTACGGTGCGACGGACTAGTCTCGTTAGCTTTGCGCAGTGGCGATATCGTAACCAATGAGGTCCTACCGAGGTGCGATTATTGCTAGTTGAAAACTTTTACCAATACCACGCCATGACGATGTGAAAACTGCCTTTGCGATAGCGATTCGTTATAGTTACGAGTTATGCGCAAAATATTGCATCATCCGTGCTATACCTGCTGCAATGACGCATCACGTCTCCTCCTCTACAATAATACGTCGTAAAAAGAGGGAATAGATGAACGGCTTTCCGAGAGTTTGCTAGTAGCCGTTATTCTTACTGTAGGTTTGCAACTGCAAACTGTTTCTTTTTATCGTGTTTAGCTACATTATAATTCCAGCAAATCTTGGGCAAAATGTCTTATATACAATATATGTTTCACATATAAAAAATATTTTAAATATCATTTGTCTATCGATAATACTAGAAATTGCAATTTTGCAAGATAATATGTTCTATATTATTATTAGAAAAGAAAGTAATCACTTTGTAGATATTATAGATATTACTTTCTCTCTCTCTCTCTCTCTCTCTCTCTCTCTCTATATATATATATATATATATATATATATATATATATATATATATATATATATATATATAAAATATTAAACATCTTTTTATTCTTATCTCTTTTTCGGAGAATTATTTTCTCTTTCTCTCTCTTTTTAAAATACTTTTGTTTACATGAAATATAAAATTAGGCATCTTGATGTCTACGTGAGAAAAATGTAAAACAAATAACATATATCACTGTCTTCTCGCGGTCGCCAAATATCTCATTGGGCTATCATTTCTCTGGCATACTTTTAAAGCGGTTCTCTCGTAAAATACAGTTGGGTAGCATATATCATTTCTCTGGGAACGTGTTTTTCTCTTTCAAGATTTATTGTCTTCCTTTTTAACTATTCAGTTTCCAATTATGTGCAGGTTGCCGGCAAGCGAGAAGCGAGCCAAGAAGCCGAAGCCCAACAATGGGTCGAAACGGTGGTCGGCGAAAGATTTCCACCAGGTTAGTGTATGTGTCTAACATAAATTATAAGTCTTAATATATTCCGTGTCGCGCTTTAATTAGGCGTCTAAATTAGGCGAAATAAAATTTTATCTGCACATAAAATAAGAACATCGAACAAATCTTTCATTAATTCGAGACAAAGCATCTCTAGAACGGTTGCTTCTTTAATATTCATGAAGTTGGACACGAATAATTAGATACGTGTGTATTAGTATCGCGGATATACATTATAATCGGATACGTATAATACATGTAAATTTCATCAAAATTATTTCAACATTTGTAACGGTTAACACACGCCGTTTCGTACGGTGCAGCTTTATGAAGTGTCGTTGCGTATCTTAACCATTTTTTTCATGAATAGTTTCCGATTGCACATAAGTAAAGATATCAGGGGAGTATCGATTACAGTGGAAGCGAAGTTATCACAGTAACACATCCCCTATCAATCGGAAAAAATCTTGCTCAGATATGAAACCCTGATATGTGAAGACGATCAAAAACCTGCAAGCTTAATTGTCCTTGTATCTTTTGATTCAACGGAACTATCTATCTAGTTTTTATACATCTCTTAGAGAGTCGATGAACGTACGATGTTTGCAGCAACTCGTATTTAACAAGCCGACTATTTAAATTGTTTATCCATTCGATTGACATTAATTAAAATACGTGAGTGTGATTAGATGTGTTTATACAACAAAACACGGGAGAGGCTAAAAATCGATTGACTCTTTACTACTCTTTAGAATGCCATAAAGAAGAAACGACATACACAACATGTCCTTTCGATGTAAACATATTTTCCAAGATACTTTCGCAAAAAGTGGCATGATGCCGATGTTAAATCTCTTGTATAAATGTCGTGCGTTTAATGGCGTTGTGGACACATATGAGCTCCTGTTCCGTGGAGGTGGTGCGGCTCTGAAAGCGTTTCGACGTTTCCATCCCCATCGGTGCTTGGGACAGCGCAACGAGCAAAGGGGTGGAAGCGCCTTGAAGCCAACTGGAGCCACATAATTGCCGGATACAAATGTCAGGTCGCGTGACGTCACAAAGGTTAAGCTTCGTCGATAGGTCAGTTCCTCCATATAGCATACTTGTACGTTATAATATGAATATCGCGATATCAAGTGCACGCGATGCAAAACGATATTTATCTCGAACACATGCGACAAAAATACAATGCGCCACAATTACGTATCAGCGTTTTAACTGGCGTTTCGCGTATTGTTGTTGCAAACGTAATTGTCACGACCGTTTGAAGAAGTAGACGTTCTCTCTATGTAGAATATTGTGGATAAAATGTATATATACACTGAGAGAAAAATTATCTTAAAATCATTAAATATTTTTTTGATGGGTGCCATTAACATATTTACTTAAATCTAAATTCTCTTTATTCAAATCAAATATTGTTTATCCGATTTAAGTAAACAATATTTGGTTTAAATAAACAGAATTTAGATTTAAATAAATATGTTAATGGCACCCATCAAAGAAATATTTGTTGATTTTAAGGTAATTTTTTCTTCAGTGTATAAGCATGATTAAAAAGCGTGGCCTATCTCAAATTTATATTCGCATTTGCACGAAAGTTATTTATACTAGGTGTCTATTTTTTTTGTCTCTCTGTTTCTTTCTCTCTCTGCCTTTCTCTCTTTCTTTTTTTCTTTTTCTCTGTTTCTTTTCCTCCTTCTATCTGCGTCTCTCTCTTTCTCTCCTCTCTCTCACGAATTATAACAATTGAGTTTGTAATGACAATATTCAATTTATATACATGAGGCTAGTCGAGAAGTGCATAGCTACAACAAGTTTTCATACGAGTATGTTGCGAGTGGAAACTTAGGGTAAACAAAGTCAGGGATTTACATCGTAATCGTATTAACGATTTCCAGGAGGTTGACGAACCTTGCCCGAACTATTAGGGGTAGTTCTACTTCTTATTGCGACATGCTCCCCTGGCAAAACGCGCGCTTTGTTACGTCATTGCGAGCCACCCTATCGAGCCTGACTCGGCGAGCAACCCTCAGTCCTAACATACACCCCTGTTGCGACAAACACGTCAGGCGTCGACGCAATCGGTGTTGTTTCATGTACGTTTGCGCCACACTACCGTTCTTTCCGCTCCATTTCCGTGTCTGCGAATCAGAGGGAATCCTTCGAACGAGCAAAGTTAACTCTGCCGGACTATTATTTACATAGACATTCGGTCACACGACGTTTCTCTTCTCGTTGAGTTTCAGAAAGGGAAATTGCGAGATCGTCGCGAAATTTATCGAGGAGAAAAACCCCGTGATCTTGATCTGATTGAGTACAAGGACATTGTGCGTGTAAATAGATCGAGGACGAATTATGCCGGTGAGTCTAAATTTTTCACGCTCGAAGCCGGCGTGAAGTGAGTGGCATCGCTTCGATCAGTCGCGAGAGTACATTTATCGCGCATATCCACCGACCGATGACGCACTCGTCGAGTTGTCCGGGTCAGAAAGGGTCCCGGATATATAGTCGATAACGTCGATTACGGCGAGTGTTTAGATTTAACGAGCCTCCACCTGTGACTGTCATCCTGGTTGTGCTGAGGATGCGATGGAGGTGGTCGAACGGCCAAACCACCCCCACTCGAGCACATGATTAATCCCCCACTAGGAATCGTCGGTATCTACATCTAAGTAGGGATCCTCGGCTTGCCAAGAAAGCTCTCTTGGGCGAGTGGCAGCCTGGTGTTCGCGAACCTTGAGCGTACATGTCGGAAATAGACCAGAGATCCGATTGAGATTTAAACGATATCGCTGGCGAAGAACTCGAACGATCATGCACGGTAAATCCTCAATTTCGCAGCAGATCGAGCAACAAATCGTTTAAGTAGATTTCTTTATTTCTTTATTAGATATCTCTACGAGACACAAGAGAAGAAAATGGATGAAAATGCTCTCGTGGTGCGTACATTCTTCTTTCCGCAGAAAGAGTGAACTTGATGAGGTAATCACATGTAATCTCTCGCGCCTCTAATAATGTTATTTATCGAACGTTGCTAACGCGTCTGTGTACTCTCTTCGAATAATTGGCTCGTTATAAATGCGACGATTTATTTTGCTTATTACTGAAACGTCGAAATTGGTATTGTGACTTTGTTATTGGTGACTTTTAGTATTCCTATATTATTCACTTCTCCTCTCGTCCTCTTTCCATTCATTCCTTTTACTCATTCCGACACAGAGAAAAATGTAAATTATTTTAAGCGGGTAATGTTTTACTCACTATTTTGCCCTCCTCCTGTTGCTCTGATAGTCCGGGAACGCGTTCAGTATTCATCTTTGAGTTTCCCTGCGACGAGTGTATCTAGGGGCGGCGGCCTAGATTGCGATAGACCCCGTTCGTAGTTATATTGTAGGGCGCACTCGAGCTCTATGCGGGGATGCGAGCCGGATAGTCGAAGCTTTTGATGTTATTGACTTGTTTAAAATTGAACTTAAACGCTTGTGATTCAATTACCGGTTTAATTCACCCCGTTCCGCGCGGTCCTGACCTACCCCGGACACTGGTGCCCTGGTGTTCGGGCAGCAAGAATTTGATGGGAATTTCGAGGCGCCTTGTGGGACTTCCGAATATAGATGGTAGCCTGCTCCCGGAAGCTCGCAAGGCATGCTTGGCACGATCCTTGTCTGACAGACATCGATCGCGAGACGTCATGTTGTCGTTTTTATGTCGCGCTCGTCCCGCCTTTATCTCGGCAGAAATTCAGTTGCGTTATCATTCGGCAAGCGTTGGCAGTCAGAGTTGTATATGCACGTTTTCATGCTGTCGAAATTACAGTGGAGAAATTTCGCGGATTAACGCTAGTTTGAGCAGCGTTGCTGGTTAATCTAATTATCAGTCGTGATCGTTGTTAACAGTTTGACGAACAAACGAACGAATCTTGAAGAAACGATAGGCGAACGATAGGAAACGCGCAGGTCTGGTGAGCAATCGTGTTAGAAACACACCAAGACGCATGTTACTCCTCCCGAACATTAGAAACTGCATAGCCGACGACGCGTATTGATTTAACGTCATCGGTCCATCATGTTACGTCGTAGAGACGCTAGTGTACCAGGGTCGCATACAGTACGACCGGATGGTCGTTGATGCTAGTCATGTGTCACCTCTCCCTCTTTCACCTTGGCCTTACTTCCTCATTCCCCCGCGCGCAAGTACTGCCCGGTCATTATAGCTGCATTTGACAAGCAACGTTCATAATGAGTGAGCGAAACTCTCGTGAACGAGTCCTTTTCGATGACAAAAGCAAATTTTCCGCCAATCCAAGAAACAACCATAAACCGTTTAGGGAGCGTGACTAATTTTTTACATCACGTACGTTTCCTTAAAATCCTTTAAGATCCCTTAGCCTTTTCATGGAGGCTCTTGTTCATTCTATTTAAGCAATCGTTTATTCTATTTAAGTAAGAGAAAATTTAGATTTCAGAAAGAATATGTCATTAGTGTTCCCCTATAAATATTTCCTATTGCTCAGATATTTTTTTCCGTCAGGATGGTGGACCGACTCATACGACAGTATGTGACATGACTCGACATTGTCTGCGCGCCCGATTAATCGTAGATCGAGTCGTGCGAGCGTGTGAGTGCCGCTTAACGCCTCGTCGGGGGTGGCTCTTCTGCAACGCGCGGAAGCAGAAACGTCAATCATCCGTCCGTCACGGTGGCGCAAGTCGCTTGGGTGCACCAGGGCACCAGCAGACGTTTGAGGGATTTATAGGGTGTTTCGCGCTAGCACGTCGACGTGGCCGCGTCGACGGATCGATCCGCTCGAATTACGACCCCGCGCCGCGTTCCCTCCATTCGCGGCGTTCGTCGCGCCGACCCTTCGCGATACCGGACACCGTAAAGCGGGTCACACTCTCATCGAGCATCGTCCAGCGGCAGTGCGAGTGTTCCTGTCGATACGTCGATGACATTTCGTCATCTGTCACGGCGTGACGTCACGAAAGCTCGCGCCTACT